TGTTTTTCTTTCTTGAAAAGTTGTTGATTTTCCCGGAAAATTTTCGGACCTTAAAACCCCTAGTCGAGGAAGGGCCGACGACGGCCGCATGAAGGCGCCGAGTGGCCGGGTTCAGTCCGTCCTCCTCCTTCTCAGATGCAGTACCGCGTGTGCGGGCGTGCTGCGCTGCGCTGTGCTGCGCTGGGCGTCGGCGCCGTGGGCGTAGGCAGCCCGGCCGCACGCATGCGCGCGGTACAGTATAGTGCTCGGCGCACCTTCCACCCTCTTCCTCTTGTGCTCAACGGCACCCTAACCCTCGGCGTGTCTCGTGTCCGGCAGCGTGAGCGCCCCCGCCGCCCTGGCCTACGCCTACCTCGGGGAGTTCAACTCGCCCAAGAACAGGAACCGCGCCATCATCCTCGTGGGCTTCCTCACGGCCTGGTCGGCGATCCTCCTGCCAGCGCTCGCGTGGGCCGTGCTCCCGATGGAGTGGTCGCTGCCGCTGTACGGCGACGGCCTCTACTACAAGCCGTGGCGCTTCTTCATCCTGGTGGGCGCCCTCCCCGCCCTGCTGTCGGGCCTGTGCCTCCTGTGGTTCCCCGAGTCGCCCAAATTCCTGCTGGCCGTGGGGCGCCGCGACGAGGCGCTCCAGGTGCTGTCGCGCGTGTACACCCTCAACACCGGCAAGCACGACTTCCCGGTAGGTCGCCATGCCACTCGCCACGCCGTCTGTGCGCGGGCGCCCCCGTGCCGTGTCTTCTACACGTTCCAATGCTCCGCAGGTACGCCAGCTGACGGAGGACACGAGCTCCATCATGGCCAGCACGACGGACAGGTCCTTCTTGTCGCTCATGAAGATTGTCGCGGCCCAAACTGCGCCCCTCTTCAGTAAGACCTTCATCCTGCACACCTTCCTCGTGTGCTTCATCCAGTTCGGTAACATCGCCAGGTGAGCCCTCCCCGTCCTCAGTCATGTACGGTACTAGCACTCGCCACTCCTCTGGCCACAGTACCTAACGTGTCTTCATTGCAGCGCGAGCGGTCTGCTGATGTGGCTGCCGGTGCTGTTCAACTACCAGGCGCAGTACGGCGAGATGCACCCCGGCGCTGCGACCATATGCGAGGCCGTGTCGGGGGTGCTGCAGGCCGCCAGCAACACCACAACCGAGGCCACGCTGGGCGCAGAGGTGCTGGCCTCCATCGGCGCCGATGGCACGCCCAGCCCCAGCACGTGCACTGGCGGCACCATCCTGACGCAGGTCTACATCAACGCCCTCATCATTGGCGGGGCTGACGCCATAGCGCCCCTTTTCGGCAGCCTGGTTGTCAACAAGGTCGGAAAGCGGAACCTGCTAAGTGAGTGCCCGGCCATATTCGCTTCACTCGTCGATACGAGAGAGCGCCGAACAACGGACTAAATCACAATCGTCTTTCAGTTGTCTGCATGTGGGTGACTGGGGTGTCAGCCGTCGCCATGAATTTTGTTGGGTCGTACGAGGCGATTTTGACCCTGGCCTGCGTCGTCATAGCCCTGACTGGCATGTGTATTGCTCACATCTCCAGCATCGTTGTAGACCTTTTCCCAACAAATGTGAGGTATGTATATGAATATAATAGGGTATTCTGCTGCAAGCCAACCGGAACCTAAAGAAGAAAAGCATGACTGCTCTGTCTGTTTCCCTCTGCGCGCTCATTGGCTGACCGCCACAGCCACGCCATTTTTGGCCAATCAGCGTGCAGGAGGAAACAGATCGGGTAGTCATGCTTTTCTTCTTTAGGTTCCGATCGTATTGTACCGGAATACCCTATTACTATCGATTACACGTGCGTGAATTTTGAGATACTAAAAAAGTTGTTCCCTCTCGTTTAGAGCGATGGCTGTCAGTCTGTCCCTTATGTCTGGTCGTTTGGGGTCCATGGTTGGAAATTTCATTTTTGGTTCTCTTCTTGACACGTATTGTGATGCCGCATTCTACTTTTTCGGAGGAGTTCTCTTGGGTAAGATTTGGCCATTTTGAACGCAAAGTACTGTACATATTATCAACAGGCTTGACAAATATGCAAACATTCTTTTACAGTGTGCGGCGTTTTCGCATGTTTCTTGCCAAAACAAGGCAGATACGCAAATTAAAAGGCCCGCAGAATCCATAAAAAGAATACGGTGACTACTGAGGTAACTTCGAAAACCTCCACAGGTACTTGATAATAATAACGTGTGATCTCAGAGACTGATGGACCACTTCCAAAGCACTATGTCAGTATTGTATGTTTTGATACTATGAACCCAGATTTTAGATTTAAGAGATATTTAAGGGCACTTATGTACAAAATAAAAACCAAGAAAATATATTTCCAATTCATGGTCTTTCTTAATTTGAAAAACTAAGAATTATGTTGACATATTTCTAGGACCATAAAACAATACAGAACTCGGGTCCACTAGAAAAACTAGAGAGACGGAAGACGAACAACCGAACAGCCAAAGGGCCTTCATTTGAACCAAAATTTTCGGCCCTAAGATCAACTCCCGGGCGGGGCAATTCTTTTTTTTTTTTTTTTTGTCGCCTTTTCCTCTTAAGGCAGGACCGAGCTCAGACCATACACCCGGAGGAGCAAGCTGGTAGCCGAGCGTGGTAAAGCGTGATCGTTCGTAAATCGTGGGGATGGTCGGTAGTTCGAATCCCGTTCGCGATCATTTTTCCTGCTCTGCTGGCCAAGTGTCTTCGGGCGTCAGTCACAGCTAAGATCTAGATGCCGCCGAAAATTGCACTCACTATCGTTCCGTCGTGGCCAAGTCGGTAGCGTCCGGGCCCGGTATGAACCTGGTCGCTGGTTCGAATCTCGG